AAATGATAAATAGATGATATGTTATGTGAGACTATAAAGCATGTATACTCCTTATAATGCTCATACTGTGTCAACATGTGTTGTATATCAACACTCCATGCACAAGATGTCAAGCAATGTAGAAACTGTGCTCTAGGTTTTTAGTATTACATGTCTAAGACGTAGGTGGGTACCATTTCTCTATTTGGGTGTATGAAATTTCAGTCAGTTTAAAATGTAACCTGTTTAATCAGTACCCAATCGATAAAAATTGCAGAGAAATCTATATCTTTCTTCACCCCTCTCTAACTCCAGTGTGATCTTAATAACCAAAACAACTCTTCTGGCAACGAGAATGACTAGTCACTCAGGTTACCAACTGTCCCTAGGAAGCAATGTAACTACCCTTGGAATCTATTTATGTATTTGATTGAATTTTGTAATCAAAATTATATTGTTAGCTATCACTTGTTATTCTTCTTTTTCTGTTTGTCTGTCCAGTGTCCTACATAACTGCTTTTAATTGTTTCATGTCCTTCCAATATGCATATCCATGTGTACTCTATAGATGTTAGATGACTCTTTGGGCCATTTTAGCCTATAATTGACATCATTTGTAGTCATTTAGCATCAAAAACTATATGGATCATCAATCAAATAATCCATAGGTGAGATTTCTTTCACCTCAAGTATATAAAAAACATTGTTGCATTGTCCTGGATCTGCAAATCGGCAAAATAAACCAGTAAAGCATTAAGAACAAGGAGAAATTTGTTTAATATGTTCCATATTCATTTATATCTCAACCAGGTTATCTAAGAATATCTAAATCTGCTAATCATGAAGTTAAAGCAATAAGAAAAGGAGGTTTATTATCCTCTATATATGTTTGAAGTATTTATTCTTTATAATTTTTAATATTTTAAGTATTCGTTCTGTTAGATTACCTTTTTTGAGTTGCCCTATTCGGATCACTTTCATGTTAAATCTGTCTTTCTTTATGTTTCTTGTGTTAAAGAATTTAGAGCAGAATGTGACTAATATGGTTTCAAAGATCAGATGGTGAAATGTAATATGTTGAGTGGGCACTGGGCACCCTTTATATATGGAGTATAAAATATATTTCGTCGGAGATGATTACAAGAGATATGTCGATGCTGCTGCTCTAGGTGGGCCTCCTCCCTCTTCTCCTTGGCAGTGGCAATGAAATGATAGGAGAAATGAAATTCATATGAGAGAATTATGAAACTTTACTCAACTTATTTTTCCATTTGAATTTTCCCACCTCTACCTCTTTTTTTCATATGAATCTGGAAATAATTTCTTCCTCCATTTCTTCTAGAAGGCTTCCATAGATTGGTACCTTCAGCAAGGAAAAACTAGGTAAAAAAGATCTAGTTTCATAAGAAGCTGGTGTAATTTTAAATAAAATGGATATAGCATACAAGAAAGATGAGTGACAGCTTTGTCTCATGTGATATTTCCTACAGCTCCCATATCAATCTGTTATAGGGCCTAATGCTTTCATTGGTATTGCTAAGTAGCCAATTGACAATTGGAGGTTTTCGGCCCTACTGTTTTTCCACAAGCTGGTCATTTTTGTTTCTGAAATAATGGCTGAATCTAAGAAAATTATTGGCGACTCAGAGTCCTGCTTTCATGCTAAGTTTTGATATTTGATCTTTTATCCTTTGGCTACGTGTTTAAAACTTCTGGCTCGTAGTTGTGCAGTCCCTAGACAGAGATCTCTATAATGATATAGCTATTGAAATTTGTTGCAGAAAACTTGCTAGAAAACTTCGGGGAAAACCAGATGCATGACTAGGGTAATTATTTGTTACGAAATCAATTATAGAAATGTTCCAGATTTTGGATACTCAGATCATCATAGAAACCAATACAAGGCATTGTGACCTACATGCGAATTAAGTTGCTGTGACATGATTAATCTGGTCGAGCTTGCATATGCTTTCAAATGCTATAAATATGGAAGAAGTCGATGCTAACTTCGATTTTAATGTGGGCATCTTGATGGAAAATTTAGTACATAGATTTTAGAATTATAGGTTTAAGTTTTGGGTTTTGTCATCAAGGTTTATCAGCTCTCTCCCTTCAATTCTAATGCATCTGATGATTAAATACTCCAAAACCACTTCTAAACTGTAACCATTCTGATTTTCATTCCACGAATCACATCCAGCATGCTGCTACCGTGATGAATGATGGAGTAAATACATAATAATCATATAAATGAAGTAAGGTATTACTTGCAAGTGCAAGTTTTTAAGATGTTACTACATCATTTCTGTTAATATTTGTTATGTGTGTGAATAAGAAGCTTATGCAGTCACAGAAGAATCGATTTAGGAAATATGGATTGAGGATGCGATCATCTTAAAGATGACACTGTTCATTATATCCATCAAAGGTGGTCAAGAGAATAAAACATGAACTTATCGCTTCCTATTTTAGACAGAAACTTGAAAGTTGGCTACATTTTTTCTACATCCTACCTTCGTTCCATCTTTACCATTGAAGTTGGTGATGCTTGCTCGCTTCTCTAACATACAGTATATTGGGCTTGTTGATGCACAAGACTTCATTTTATGTTCACCAATATCAATTAGTGAGTATGAATGCACACTTAAAAGTTCCTCTCCATAAGCTTTTGTGAAAAGCAATAGTAAAAAAAAAAAGAAAAAGAAAAAAAAACCCTTCTCCAAACCTATTTGAATTTATATCAATTCGAATAGTACTTTGTGTGTGGACAAACAATGAAAATGAGAAATTGGGTAGATTTGTGTTAAATATGAAATGGCTATCCTACAAAAAAGTTAATTGACTAGTTGGCAACTAGGTAGACATATAATTTCTAGCGAAGCAATTTAGGCGCAGTCAACCTAGAACCCCTGTGAAATTTCTTAGATTGATGTCTTTATACTTGTTGAATTTTCTGATACTTATCACTCCTAATTTATCTATTTTGATACTGTACTGCGTTGAATGAGATAACCTAATGTTGGGTTCATTTTTATTTCCTCAATGCTCAACTTATGCGTCCTTCAATTTGTCATCACTGCCATATTTGGCTGATAATTTAATGCTTAATTCTTATATTCTGAGCTGTGTTCCCCAGGTTTTGCTGTAGATGGGAAGAGTTATCAAGGGCCACAACAGACGTCAATTCAGGCTCACCCCATATCCTATACCTTCAAACCGTTATGCTCAGGAGAAAATTGACTGGAAGCAGGCTGTATGTGCTGTTTGTTTGGAGGCTCCACATAATGCTGTTCTCCTCCTCTGCTCATCCCATGACAAAGGTTGCCGCCCTTATATGTGCGGTACCAACTTTCGCCATTCTAACTGCCTTGACCTTTTCAAGAAAGCTTATGCGAAGCCAGCTGTCACCACTTCCGACTCCCAAGAGAATTTGTCAGACCTCAGTTGGCCTTCCTGCAAGAAATCCGAGCCAACTGAGCTCTCTTGCCCTTTATGCAGAGGTGAGGTGAAGGGATGGACAATAGTGGAACCAGCAAGACTTCACCTCAACAAAAAGAAAAGGAGCTGCATGGAGGATGGATGCTCATTCAGTGGCACATATAGAGAACTACAGAAGCATGTGAAAGCCAAGCATCCAAGAGCCAAGCCTCGAAAGGTTGATCCATTGCTCGAAGCGAAGTGGAGGGCACTTGAGAGGCAAACAGAGGAGCAAGACGTATTGAGCACGATAAGGTCATCAATGCCAAGATCTGTTGTTATGGGGGATTATGTCATCGATATGGATAGCAACAGCGGTAGCGACTTTGATGATTTTGACGACGATGATGATGAAGATGATGGATTTGATGATGATGATGACGAGGATGATGGAGGGGATAGAGGAGGCGGCTTTCTAAGAAGAAGAAGGGGGAGAAGTAGTAGTGGGGATTTTCGTCAAAGGTTTCTTTACCTTCTATTGCAGGAGGGTGTTCGTCTGGCAAGGGCTCGTAGAGGTATTGAAGATGGTGGCAATGGGGGTGGAGCTGTTAATTATCAGTCAGAGGAAGACAATGTTCATAATGATGTTGGTAGGAATCAAGAAAGGCGAGTGAATTTGATTAGGAGAAGGCGGAGACGGGGGCGAGGTCGTGGGAGATCTGTGTTTCATGATCTCATGTGCTAAAATTACCTTGATGGAGCTTTGCTAGAAAGACCTAGATATGTTGTGTTCAGCTAGATAGAGGAATTGCCCATTTTTTGGTTCCAATGTTTATGATGGTATATTTCTCTTTTGGTTTTCGATATTTAAGTAGAAAGCACATCTTCGATTGGATTGTTGTTAAGACATGATACTTAGAAGTAGGAAGGGCTTCTTACTTGGTTCTGCATTTATTTTCAGACAGGGTGTTGTTTAAGGAGGTGGTACTGCTGGTGTTATTTTGTTTAGAGCTTAGTATGAAGTCTGCAGTTGAAGATATTTCCAGAAAGTGGGATATAGGAGGTTCTCTTGCTACTATTAGAGGGGAGAGAGAGCAATGTCATGGCTTTAACGAGTGAATCTCTGTTTGAAGTTTTGTTTTTCGTCAATACCCTCCATTTGCAGTTCAAGCAGGACGTTCAGCTGGATTTGTTTGTGGTTCGTGTGATTCATCTCTCTGGCCAGGGTATCTATCAGAGAGCATTTGTCCTTTATTCTTCGGCGTGGGATTTGATCTTTGTTTCATTTTTGTGAGTATAAAACTGCATGATGCCTTCATTGCCTTTGGTTTGTTCTGATAAGTATTTTGCGTCATGGAGACCCTGACAAGCTCATCTGGGCTACATTAGAGGTTCTTTTTAACATGTGCTGACCTGCATGGGCCTCGGCACCGTCTTTCCCCCCCCCTGATAATGAGAATTTCTGCCCCTTATAGGCAGCAGACGGGATGGGACTTAATTTCTAATGAGCAGTATTGGCTACGAGATCAATTGAACGCTATATAACATAATTGACAGCCTGCTCCCAAAGTAATACAGAATAGCACGATCAAACATATTCGGAAATTTCACTTAAAAACATGTCAATATGAATGCTTAGACTAGAAGAAATTAACCCCTTTCTGTTCTTTTTCGCCAGATCACAAATCAGCTGGACAACATCCAAGGTCACTATTTCATTTGTTCAACTTTTATCAGGTATCTCGGATGTCGTAAATTATTGCTGAACAAGTGATGGAGATGATAATAAAGTCCTTTTTACTAGGGGTGCTAAATCGTATCCGTAGAAGAGGAAATATCTGTAACCGTATCCGTTAGGATACGAATATGGCTAAACAAAATTTTCGTAGAAGAGGAAATATCTGTAACCGTATCCGTTAGGATACGAATATGGCTACTCAAATCTTTAACCAATAGGATATGGTTACGGATATGGTCTTGTAGTGAAATATCCGTATACGTATTCGAAATATCCGAATACATATTAGTCATACTCTTACAATAGTTTCGATTCTTAATTATGGATTTGTGGTTAATTTTGATGATCAAGATGTCTAATCTTAGCTTTTTAATTATAATGAACATATTAACGGCCTCTTTTGTGTCACATGAACTATGTTTTTCTCAATAATATGTGGTTTTCTCATATCCGTTTTGTATCCGCATGTATATCTACCTATATATCCACATTTATATTCGTAATTGTATCCGATTTTAACGGATATGAATATAAATTTTCCTTACCGAGATATATCTGTATCCGAGATGGGTAAGCGGATATAAAAATGATAAGCATCATATCAGAGCCGTATCCGGACCGAACACATGCGTACTTTTTATTCTATAACTTGCGATGTGCAAGTCCGTATAATGTATAACAGGCATTCAAATGCAAACTGCTACAAAGCTAAATTTGACGCTTTATTACATGATACAAACTAATTTCTTGATTCCGTGTAGCATTACAAGTATACAATTACGCGAAAGCAGTTTAGAGGTACAAGCACATAACCATTCGTTTCAATAGTTCAGCCTAACAAGAAACTCACTTGTTACGGATGATGTGAGTCCGCTTTCATTATAACTTTCAACATTTATAGATGAAATGCCGCAATTAACAAAGCATATGGCCCAGTGTGATACCATGCTGCATCGTACAGGAAAGGTTGAAAGTTGAAACGTTTTCTCCCGCATCCTACAGTTTTATCAGACCTCTCCACGATATCCACCAGAGCCAAAATAGTCTCTCCGTGACCCAGCAATCGCCATGGTCTTCTGATGTTCCAATTTTGGACAATCTTTTATACGATGACCAAGCCCACCACAATACGCACATCCCTTCACTCCGCTCGCACTCGTTATAGCATCACCATCCTCCATTGGATCATTTAGCTCACCAAGAACAGGCGGTATTCTCTGTTTCGCTTCTTGAAGCAGGTGTTTCAAATCAAGAAGTGTCGTCTCGCTTTGGTTCTTGTTTATGAATGTAGTAGCTATACCGGTCTTTCCACACCTTCCAGTTCTACCTATACGATGCACATAGTTTTCAATCTCAGCGGGCATATCGTAATTAATCACATGTTGTCCAGTTCTACCTATACGATGCACATAGTTTTCAATCTCAGCGGGCATATCGTAATTAATCACATGTTGAATGTCAGGAAAGTCGAGTCCTTTTGATGCAACATCAGTGGCGACCAGGACATCCTTCTGTCCTGCTTTGAAGGACGAAATGGCATATTCTCTTTCCTCTTGATCCTTTCCTCCATGAATAGCAACAGCTTCAACTCCCTTTAGAAGAAGGTATTCGTGGATATCATCCACATCTGCTTTGTTTTCGCAGAAGATCAGCACTGGTGGTGGGGTTTTCTGTAGGCACTCGAGCAGATAGACAATTTTTGCCTCTTGCTTAACATATTCGACTTCTTGTATGACATCCAAATTTGCTGCACCAGCTCTTCCTACATTGACAGTTACTGGTTTTACAAGGGCACTTCTTGCAAAGTTTTGGATCTTTTTGGGCATTGTGGCAGAGAAAAGGAGAGTTTGTCTTTGAGCTTTAAAATGGTCAAAAACCTCTCTAATGTCGTCCTCAAAGCCCAAGTCAACCAGTCGATCAGCCTCATCTAATGTCAAGTACCTGTAACAAAACCGGTTAGAGGGGGGCTAAAAGGCCCAAAAGTTTGTTGCATATAGAAAAAGCTGATGCTGGAATAGCAGGATTATATGGTATGATGAAAAGCAATAGGCACTATGATTATCATGCACAAGAATTTAATAAATGCTAAGTGCTTGGCCAGAAGCCTGAGCATATACCTAACATAACTAGATAACATTGGGTTATTGACCAATCTTTTTCTTAAACTATGGTTTTCTAGTTGCCCGGTCTAAATATTTTACATTTTTATCATCTGCAAATTGATGGATTGCATAAAAATTACAAAAAAAATCGAGCGTTGCCAATAGACAGTCATTCACCTCGTGGTGTCCCTCGCACTTGGGAGGGTAGGGAACCATATGCTTTGTAAAGGGAAAAACATTTATTATTTTATTACAAATTTTAGGTACCTGTAAGAGTTAGAATTTCAGAACATATAATTGGCTTCATATCTTTTAAACTTAAAAAGCCAAATATGGCCACAGCAGACTCAACCAATATGATTTAGGAATTAAGTAATTAACGTGTCTCTTTCAAACACGCGAAAACAATACATAAGAGCAAACTTTGAGATAAGAACTAGAATGTCCAACTAGCTTCATATCTTTTTAAATTCAAAAAACAGACAAAAAATGTAAATTCAAAAAACAGACAAAAAATGTAAGGAATATAATGTCAACGAAATACAACAGTTAATCTCCATGTAGACCCCAAGAAATATGATTTAGTATCCAAATAAGTATGGCATCATTTACAGCAATTTAGCTCTTTTAGCTCTTTATGGCAACAAATAGAGACCCCAGAGCTCACAACCAATCATGTACACTCGAGTATATCATGTGGCACACCATTATGACATAACTTCAACCTACACCCACGGCAACCTAGAACAAAGTCAATTCTTAACATCAAACGAGGATCACAATAAAATCGAATTACCTCCATTCATGATCCATCACCTAAACTCTTACAGAACCTTTTTGATAAACCCTGAAATTCTAAAGATCACTCCTTACCTCTACTAACCAACAACTTGAGGCAAACCAGCTAGCTTTTATCGTGTTTAAACTCTAATACATCTCCTTCAGCTTTCATCACAGATCTTCTTCTCTAGCACATTAATTACACATATGTAACAAGTTAATTTCCTCAGATTCATCGTGACGTTTATAATATGTAACTTTACTCTGTGTTTTCATAAACATATTGGAGTATAACAATAGACTATAAGCAAATTTCCTAACTTTAGAAAAAGTAATTACTAAAATTTTTGAATAGAGGATCATCATCCCTTAGGCCTGGTCATGGACCGAACTCAGGCTAGGTCCAGCCTGGACCCCCAGCACCCGGGTTTTTCCAGCCGGGCCTGGATGGGCTCGAGAATTTCAAGATTGGGTTTTGCCCCTAGTATCGGGCTTGGTAGCTGCCCAAATCTGACCCAACGGGCTTCATGCTGGGCCGGCTTTTGACTTATTTTTTAAATTTAAAAAATAACAAAAACATAATAAATTCAAAAAATTTGACAAAAGAATTATACTTACATTAATATATTGACGAATTTTGTACATATACTTCTAGAAATTTGCATACTAAAAAAGAAAAAAATATTAAAAATAAAAATTAATGAATTGGGCATCTTCTTTTCTTGTTTTAAATAAACACATCGGCTCCAGACGTTTGTTTTCTCTTTTTTAATAAACGAATCAGGCCACTTCAGGCCAATTCGATTTTTTTTAAAAAAATATCTAAGGCCCATGGTATTTGGGCTAGGAAATAAATGCAGGCCCAATTTAGGCCAGGCTAGGCTCGGGCTTGGCCTGGGTTTCGGGCCCAGGTTTGAACCCTCTGCCCAGCCCACCCTAAAAAATCTCCGGGCGCAAACTTGGGCCGGGACCAGTTAATGTGGGCCAGGCTGGACAGGCTTCCGGATGCATGTTGGCCAGGTCTACCATCCCTAAGATAATAATTGCTATAAAAGTATGTCAGTATTATGGAAAATAATACTAACTTGAACTTTATCGACATTCCTTTTAACTTAATAAAAGCATAGATGCTAATTATGCTTCTTAAACTGTAGCACTAGGATCCTTTGATACCAAATGGCTCTCATCTGTTTATTTCAAAATTTTCACCAGTTAAAGCCTTATAACCACATCTCATACTTTGATGTTTTAAGATAACACTAAAATATTCCTAAACCATAGTACCCTTATGCCTCTACAAAAACTAAAATATTCCTAAACCATAGTGTACCCTTATGCCTCTACAAAATGGTATCTTAAGGATTTAAACCTAGGATTTATATGTATGCATGCCCTGCTGGATAATAAAAGACTTGGCAATGTAAGGATTTCTCAGAGGTCATAAAATGTAACCTAACTTATTTCCATGTAAGAGAAATTGAACCTCATATTAGTGGGTCTGAGATTCAGAATAGCATCCCTAGACTTATTACTTAATAGGAAAACAATGGAGGCTTCAACAGTGATGCAGTCCTAACAAATTGCACAATATTTAAAAGCTGAACACATATTTACTGAAAATAAACAAAAGTTCTTCCACAAGTGCAAATGCTAAGAGACAAAAAAAAAGATGTTGATTAGTTATGAAAACTGTGAGAAGAAGAGAGATAAGAATGTCTGGAACTATCAAAATATGGAAATACAGCCATCTCAATATACATTCCCACTAACCTAACATAACAACAACTCAATCGTTTCATCTTCTGGCATCTCAAATTTTCATAACATCAGATACACAATAAGTTCTTACCAGATACATAAGTTCTCACAATCGGTTCCTTGTTATTTAGATATATGCTAAATCTCCATCTTAGAACCCTTTAATCAAGTGGTTTGATCTTAATCTCCTGAGTTAACAGAGTTCCTACATCCTACTTGAATCAAAATTTACCCACATATTGCAATCACCAGCTCAATAACATACCCTAAATGATGTTTCATATAAGCTCAAATGACAAAATCCCAATCAAACAGTCGCATCGAAATAGGAAAGAGTAGTTCTAACCTGATCAATATTCTGAGTTGTGGTATACCACGGATCATTTTATGCAATATGTATGCATACAACATATTCAAGTATACACATAGTTGAAGATATTTAAATTAAAAGGTTATGCTCATAATAGCTTGCATCTTTTAATATCTATAAGCCCTAATATGATACAAAATAAAAAATGGGAGTGACTTTAGAGAACTATGATAACACGTTTTTTACTAAATAAACTAATAAAATTATACAATAATTCCAATAAGGAAAAACCAAACCCAAATCCTAATTTTGCAAATAATCAGATCAGGACTTAGCAAGGTTTTGTTAGGCCAATTTTCGCCAATAAATGGGTCAAGAATGCCAAGCGCCCATGTCCAGATCTGGATAGGTCTGGACTACTCTTCAAGTAGCCAAACTGACCCTAAAGTAATATACATTGTAATAGCCGAATCAAGAATGCAAATTGGTCTCAATAGTAACAAAATCAAGAAGATTCTCTGATATAACAATTACGTAATCTGGAACCGTCCAAAAAAACATGCAACATACCTACAATTATCGAGATTCATCTTCTTCTTGGCAAGCAAATCCTTCAATCTCCCGGGCGTAGCCACCACAATATGCACTCCTCTCTTCACAACCTCCAACTGTGACCTCATATCCACTCCCCCAATACACAATAACGGCCTTATCTCCGGGTACCCACTCTCCCTAAGCGGCGCCAAGAACTGCTCTACCACCTCATAAGTCTGCCTCGCCAGTTCCCTCGACGGACACACCACCAACCCAAACGGCCCCTCGCCCGCCACAATCGGCATCATCATCTCCTCCTGCAGCGCCACCATTATCAGCGGCAACACGAAAACCAAAGTCTTTCCCGACCCAGTAAACGCAATCCCAATCATATCTCGACCCGACAAAATCACAGGCAAGCCCTGTACTTGAATTGGCGTCGGCTGCACGATCCCCTTCTCCTTCAACTTTCTAAGTATCGGATCAGGGAACCGCATGTCTTTGAAATTCTTGATTGGAGGAGGTATGTCGTCACCTTCGGTCAGAATATGGTACTGTTTCCTAATGGCATCGCGCCGCCCAGCGGAGAGGCGGCGGATTTGAAGGGCGGGCCGTTTCCAGCCAGTAGGAATCGGATCGGTGTAAGGTGATCCCCTTCGCAGCTCGCGGACAGACAATCAGGGTTTTGCGATCGGAGAGATGTTCGATCATTTCCTTTCTTGTTGGACGATTTTGTTCAGTAGGGCTGATTTCAGGAGATCGCGCTTGAGCTGAGAGGCTTTGACGAGGAGGCTAGGCTTGTTGGACTCGGGGATGGGATGGGAGATCGTTCGACGGGGCGTGGTGGTGGAGGGGAGAGAGGAGGAATTGGGGGCCGTCGATGAGGAGGAAAGCTGAGATTTTTTCTGGAGGTACTTTTGGGCTTCCATTTGCGCGGCGTTTTGTGATGGGGATGTACTCGACGTAGTCCGTCTTCGGCGGCGGCGGCCGGCGGCGCGCGGCGGCGGCGGCGGCGGCGGTCGGCGGTGGCAGGGTAGGATCGGGTCGCCATTCGGGATGCGGTGAGGACGGAGAGGAGCGTGGTTAGGGTTTTCTTTGGGGAGGCGCTTTGCTTCGGTGCTCCAAAAATAGTTTTTTTTTTAATTTTTAAATTAACAAAAATAACAAATGAGCTAACATAACAAAAGGGTATTTTAGTCTTTTAAAATTATCTTTTTTACCTGCTTTCTATACTAAACGCAGCAAAAGAAAAAAATTCAGCCAAGGGGATCACCGCCTTTGTTCCGCCACACAAAAAGAACAAAAAAAGACAAAAAAATCAGAGAGAGAAGGAAGAAGCCGAGTTACCGATCTCTAAGTGAGATCATCGTCGACCAAATGTCCGCCTTCAGAATCCCATCCAACGAAGTGGCGATCCTCCACCGCGAGCTCTGCCGCGTGATTTCCCCCTTTCTTTTTTCTCAAACAAAACCCTAGTTCCGTTCGATTCCGCAGAAGTTTTGCCTTCGAACACTATCGAAGCATCAATAGAAATTACTTTCTTTCTCCGCTCCCTGAGGGAAATCAGAGTCTGAAGCATCAAGAGAAATCAGAGTCTCTTTCTTAGCCACGGAGAGTTCGACCAAGATCAATGTATGTAATCACTCATTAGAACCCTAAATTTTTCTCTGATTGTGGGAAAATTGATATCATATTGTTTCCTAATCTTTGAATGATACTGATTTGAAATTAGGAACATTCCTTTTCAATACTACTAATAATATTCGTTTACTTATGTTGAATAAGGATTTTGTAGCAAATACTAAATAGAAGGCATCTGGGATTTGAACTGTAAAAGGCAGTTCTCATGATTAAAACTAACAACACAGAGAAAATTTATGACTGGATTTCTCCGTTAGTGACAAAACTAATCATCATGTATTGTTCAATAATTCTGAAGTCTGATGATTCATTTCTCAACAAGTTAAAAATTGGTCATTTTTTAAAAGATCAATAATTGAGACCTAACCGATCAAAAGAATAATTAAGGGATAGAGGGTTCAGTTGGTTGTGGATATCTATATAAAATTATGGAAATAAATTTAGTTTTTAGTCATTGCTGAATCTAGTGGTATGACATTGAAAGTAAAGAGAAAGTCAGTGGTAGATTGAAAAGGAAACAAAGTGGAAAAGATGACGTGGTTTCTCTAGTTCAAGTTAAGAGTTGGGGATCATCTCCCTACAATTGAACTGAAACGCAGTAAGAGAAATTCAACTTAAAATTTTGAAACAAGCTTAATTTTCTTAGGCACTTTCAAGTTTTATAAATTTTGTTTAATACAAATTTTCTCAAGTTGTTTATGTAAATTGTACTATTAGTTCAAATATCAAATGATTTTAATGGTTAATGTAACATAAGTTGCATCATTGTATATTTTCATTAGAACCTAATATAATATTTATCAATTATAAAAAACACATTAAAAAATTATAAGCTGATTTTTTTTTATAATTTTCCAAATTAGTTTAATCATTTTAGCATTGTAAATACCTGAAACTGATACCTGATGATCCATAGTTGCTTTGGTGATATATGGGAAGGGCGTGGTACTGGTATTATTGTCAAGATTTCAAACGTTCGGTCAGATAGCCCCAATTTACTTAATTTGTCATATACTGATTGATATTTGAAACCTTTGACAAGGTAGCCGCATATTTATTCCCGAGCAGGCCTTTTATTTGGTGGGTAATATCGACGAAGCTACCGCGAAAGCTATGAACTTAGAAGGGAAACTGTCTATTTTGTTGGTTTGATCTTGTATGCGTACTTAGGGTTTTGTTAGGGTAAAATTCAAACTTTATGCAAGTTTCTAATTGTTGTTGATAAAAATTGGTTAATGTTATTTAGCATGAAATTTGTTGTTAAATTTTGGTTGATTAGAAATTTATTTATTTATATATGTCAATAAATTCTAGATGATGATTTCAGAACCTTGTTTTTAGAACATTTTTTTCTATCAGTCAACAATATTTAATAGGGCTAATATTTTGCTGCATGACTAATTTTTTTACTAATGTCTTATTAATTAATATGCATGCCAGGTGAATCCTGAGGCCCATCCTTAATGGAATACAAGGACATAATTCTGAATTCCTATACCACTGAAAATGAATGGTATGAGTTTTATAATTCATATGCCAATTTGAAGGGTTTTAGCATTCGAAGGGATAAAGTGAGATATGATAAAAATGGCAATCTTTATTATCGCAAATTTGTTTGTTTTAAAGAAGGAATTCGTGAAACTAAGCATATGGATAGAGCAGATAGGACATATAAAGAACGGTCATTATCCAGATGCAATTGTGATGCATGTCTTGAGATTTTTTTGATAATGAAACACGGAGATGGTTTGTTTATAGTTTAAGGGATATGCATAATCATGAGCTTGCAGGCCCAGATGAAGTTCCCTTTCTTCGCTCTCAACAAAGAGTTGATGATGTACAAATGGAAGAAATTCATATGCTAGCACAATGTGGCATTCCTAAAAATAAAATTATGGATTTTATGGAGTATAGAGACGGAGGTTATGAGAAGGTTGGTTTTATTAGAAAAGATATTTATAATAAGTGGGGTAAAATATCACGAAGAATAATAGAACATGGAGATGCACAAACTATATTGAATATGATGGAACAAAGAAAAAGGAAAGATGTATATTTTTTCTATTTGAATAAAACTGACGATGAAGGCCATCTTACACATTTGTTTTGGGCTGATTCTCAATCAAGAGTTGACTATGAAGCTTTTGGTGATGTTTTATTATTTGACAGTACTTATCAAACAAACAAATATGCCATGCCTTTCATACCATTTATTGGTTTAAACCACCACCGGAGAACAATAATATTTGGATGTGGAGTAGTTTGTAATGAGACAACTGCGAGCTATATTTGGTTGTTGAAGGCATTTAAGATGGCGATGTGTCAAAAAGAACCTTTGTCTGTCATTACCGACGGTGATAGTGCCATGCGTAAAGCTATAATCACAGAGTTTCCAGATGTAAAGCATCAATTGTGTTCTTGGCATATAGGAAAAAAACTTATATGATAATATAAGAAATCGTTCGGTTAGAGCAGTCTTCCAAGACCTTATTTCAAGAAAATATACAGCTGAAGTGTTTGAAAATAAGTGGAAAGAGCTTCTTGCTAATAAGATAGGTAATAAAGACAAAAAATGGCTACTAAGAATGTATGAAAAAAAATATTTATGGGCTGCTACCTACTTACATGGACATACTTTCTTAGGTCTTAAAAGCACACAACGCAGTGAAAGTATAAATTCTATTCTGCATAAATATCTCAACTATGGCATGACTCTTGTTGATATGATTCATCACTATGATAGATGTGTATCAGGTGCTTGCCGAAACGATGCAGCAGATGACTCTAAAGCCTCCCAATTTACTCCATATCCGAGAACTTGTACAAGAAAACTAGAGTTATATGTTGCTGATGTTTATACACCTGCTATTTTTGATCTAATTCAAATTGACATGCAAAAAGGAAAAAATTATTGTATCGTAGGGCACAACATTGTGGACAGACTTCACAACTTTGTTATAGCAATTGACTCAAATCCAGAGGTGCGCACAATAGTTTGTTGTAAATGGGAAAATGGAAAGTTAGTCAAGTTAGCATGTGAATGCTTGCAACTAGAAACAAAAGGAACACCGTGCAGTCATATGTTTTCCTTAATGAAATATCTAAATATTACATCATTTCCGGAGTGTTGTATTTGGCCATGGTGGACTAAAAATGTCAAAGCTGGATTTGCTTCTGATAGACATGACACAGTGAATGAAGTCTCAGATCATGCAATTAGAAACCAAAAATTGCTGAAACTAGCAAAACAAGTGTGTTATAAGGCAGCTAAGTCCGAAGATCAATTTTCTGAGCTTATGAATTTTCTTGATAGCAAATTAACATCATTTAAACTGAAGGAAAATAAATCTGAAGCATATTGATTATAACTCAGATGATGGAACATATGAGATAAATGTAGATGAGGATGGAGATGCAACAATCGTGCTACATCCCATCTGAGCAAAGACGAAAGGCGCACCCAGAAAAAGATTGAAGGCATACAGTGAAAAACGAACTAACCGCTGTGGCATGTGCAACCAACAAGGTCATAATATTCGGAGCTGTCCAAGTATTTCAGTAAACAACGTTGACAAACAAGATGTGAATAACGACACTGGGTAATTCTAATTAGATTATGATCATTACATTTTTGTGCGTATTCTCTTATCTAAAATGTAAAAATAATTAAGTTTTGTCAATTACAGGCGATATTTTCCATCTGATATGACATGGTCACAAGAAGACTACAACCTGCATTGATTGGAAACAAATTTATCTTGAAAACTTTGCACATTCTAGGTATGTAATATTATTATACATGCTTATGGTTTATCTTATGGCTTATTATTGTATCTGAATCTGAATGTGAATGTTTCTTATTCCCAGATGCTTGGAAAGTCACAGACTCTTTTCAACAAAGATACAAGATTGGTATTTGTGAATGTGGAAGGCAGTGAAACAAGATTGGTATTTGTGAATTAACAGAGCGAATGGGAAGATTAAGAGATAACTGGAGAGAAAAGGCTAATGAGGTGTCCCTAAGAGATTTGGAAGGGAGGATTGTTCTTGATGTACGAATTGCTTGTGGATGATGCTGTCAGCTAAAGTACTAAGTCGAATGATTATTTCATCTCCTATACCTGGACAATTTCTGGACTCTGCTTTTTGTGTTTGGAATTATGCTAGCTAGACTACACTCTCATGTTATTCTGTCTTAAACTTTAGTTTTTTTGACATGTTATTCTGCTTATTGGATTCATTATAATGAAAAGAAAGCAAACAAGCTATCTCTCTCATTCTGTTAAACTTAATAGGGTTCAAATTTTGGATTTGTGATGGATGAACCGATGAATGTATCATATGTCTTAGAAGTGTGTCTCAAGCATTAATTTCTCTGTTTCTTTCTTTCATGTGGTAATTATGTAGTAGTTGCCAGCTAATTCTGGTAATGCGTGGAGCTACTATCAGGTTAAAGCTTCGAACAATTTGTTTTAAAATTTATGCAGGCAAATATCTGTTTTAATTCCAGAACCTTGGTTTACTGTTTCTTCTGTAACTTCCATGCAAGCTCTCAGTTGATCGGTGTTCTTGCAGCTCTGGGCGTTTTTAGTAATGATTTCCGATGCTCAGTTTTCGCATATGGTTTCTTATGCAAGAGCTAATTGTATTGGTCGTTAATGTCGTCTAAATTATTGGTTGCTGGAAATAAGTGTTGGTTCCTAAAAAGTATTGGTTTCTCTTGCTGGTAATGGCGGTTTTGCATAACAAAAATCACTATAGCAGGGGAGTTGTATGGCGTTGGCCTACTCCTGATGTTTGCACGAAGTTTGTTTTGACTGACCCAGCTGATATGTCGAGAAGTGGGTATGCTGTTGGGTTTCTGAAACTCCTCCCAAGGAGATCTGTTCCCAGGATAAAGGTCATTTAAAACTACAAATTCATCGGATATCTCAATGACAGCATCCTTGTGCTTCTCAGGATGCATGGCCATCTGATGAAGAGCTTGTGCCCATGAACCCCAGGTTCTTTTTGCAGCAGTTTTCTCATTCTTCTGCTTATCTTTATCAACTATAAATTTATAATCAGGTTTTGCTGCAAGGAAAAGCAAATGATTAAGCTTTTATGACACTCGTTTGTTCGAAGCAATTAAAAAATAAATTTTCATTTTTTGTTACACTCGGAGTCATGGAAGCCATCTCGTTTGTTCTTCTGATCATTGTGCAAATTATCGACACTGCTTCTCTTACAGGCATCATTTCTAGGATCACTGCTCTTTACCTCGTTGCATCTTTGGTCTCGTGTAATGGATGTAAAGTTTTCAAAAAGAGAGGCATAGGCATCACGAAGGACCTTGCAACCTTTGACATAGTCATTTTTAAGGCAGTTTGGTCTCTGTGGGTTATCTTTGGTCCAAGAACATGTATAACATGAGTAACTCCTCCTCTTTGATAGAGAGAAGTAGAAGGAAGAGGAATGGCAACAGAGGTCCCAGGGCTAAGAGTATCAGCCCTTTCCTTCGTTGTCGTTTCCAGATCTTCACCTGCTGCTTTGAATATAGCTGCATTAACTCCTCCACCTCCAAGTTTTAATCGTCTGGACAAGTACCACTTTGAGTCGTTTGAATTGACAACTCACTTATGCATACATTAGTTAACGATAGTGATGATATTTGTATTCATAGTAGAAGATCATCAGCAACATATAGCGCACAACTATTACTGTATATATACTACATTGAAGAATATATATAGATTAAATAGATGCTCTGATGATATTAAGAAGAATATAGTTCATGTCATAGAGAGTTCATTAATATAACTCAACGCCTTTTCAACAATTCAAATTATATTAAACACATAGTAACAATTGGATGTCATAAAGACAATAATCAGCAGACAAAGCGCAGGCAAAAAGCAAACATATGAACCATTACAAACCCATGGGTTATTCTCAGTCACTCCTAGCTCCATCTCCTTCCCCACCTTTTTGGAATCAATAGTAAAATTATACTCCTGATCACATCCCAAGTAGGAATCGCACATGAAAAAAAAATCATATACGATTTCTCTCCAACTGATTAGTCCCAGTATCACTTTTGATCTCCTCTGCAGCGATACCCTCTTAATTGCAACCAACTGATTACAGGTCTTGCTCAGCAAATCCAACAAAACATGTTCAGTCATCTCGTTGCTTTAGCATTTGATATAAGTTTGATCTCTTTCTTTATATCTTCACATTGGTTCCACTCGGATAGAATGAATTCAGCAATCAAAGTTCTACGAAACCTTTTAATGTAGGCCTAGTCAACAAACAAACCATTAAAATTAGCAATCACAAGTAAATATAGTACACGAGGTGACAATATTTAGCTTTCATACATGTACATACCGGGCTTATATCAACTCTCATATGACTTCCATCCCAATATTCCATAAACTTTAATGTATAAAGTCCACAGTCAATCCTAATAGTTCAAGTTCAAAAAAAATGTAACCATGTTCATTATAGGATCATAAAATATGGAATTGAAGAAAATTTTATGGAATGTCTTACGAATTAATTTGTTGCGGCATATCCTGAACTATAGTCCAATCCCAAGTAGTAATATCTACATGTCTTAAGAATGCGACCATATCAGGGGATTGTAATTTAGCAACTTCAATACATGCTTGGATTCCTTGCGTCTATAAGATATCAAAAGAGACAATGGTCAAACTTATTCATTCAAAATAATGAATGTGAGTATTTAGTATGTACTTACAAAATTCATGCTAACTGTTTTGTATTGTGATTCAACCATTCCACCAAGCATCGAGTTTAGGATTTGGAACTTCCTAATTTGAGGGAGCATAACAACAACATATCAATGATTTCCTTCACTATTTGTAGGAAAAAACACCTATAAAAACATGGATAATTAAAAAGACTTAGTCATATAGTTATCAACTGAAATATTTGAGAAACTTTGTAGGGAATATAAACATAATAGTAAATATACCATATCAGATGACATTATTTCACGAACATCATTAGCATATTTTTTATATTATGAAATGATGATGTTACTCCTTGTTGCACATTTCTTTGAAGCAAGCCATACGCGAAGCATGATTGATAGCTAATCTTATTGTTGTCGAAGTTCCGATTACTGCTTCGTAGTCTAAGCAAATATGTATATGCATCAATTATCTGAAAAAATATAATTTTAATTCACCATGTTACTATTTACATTCACCAAACCAAAGTCACAATGCAAAGAATAACTTTATGATTACCACAAATGCATTTGATTTTGTATAGAATAAAGAATAAGTACCTCATTTGATAACCATGCATCAGTTCCAAAGTTTCCACTTGCAAGCAAAGGCTTTAAATATTCTCTAGTGAGAATGATATCACCTATTTGAACAAAAGACTTAATTTTCTCTCATTTACTTACATATGCCTTGTAATAAGTTATAGCAATAACTTCATCTTGTGTAAGTCATGGAGGTAGTAAGTCAGGATCTTCCTTTTCTGCTCCCTGAAAAGCAGATATGATTTTCTCTTCATGTGAATGTTTATTACGTTGGCACATGTTGATAGTATCCTCAACTTCCTTTGATTTTTTTTTTGTGCAAATGACATTTTTTTCTGTACACTTCTTAATGGTTTCATATTTTCTAATGTAGTTTGAGGCTTCTTGCTTCTTTCCCTTTGCTCATGATGAGGTGACACATAAGTCTCACCATTCATCCACTCTGAATCCATATTAAGAAGTTCCATATTTAAATCTACATGAACAATATTTGCTCCGACGTTACTACCATGGCTAAGTGGATTTCTCCTTTCTTTTTCAAATGATTCTCCTTTAAGACTAATGCAAATATTGCATAATTTTTCTTCAATTCTCTGCATATGATTCTAGAAACAGAGGTGATAAAAAATTAAGTTAGGATATGTGTAAAAAAGAAGTTTACAAGTAATATAATGAATAACCAAAATTTTAACCTTTGAATATAATTTGCTTTCTCTGATGTCGGATTTGAGCGTGGAAACATCATCTCTCATCTCGAAGATAGCTTGTGTAATTTCAAGCATAATTTTTTTTATATTATTTTCTAAGCAATGCACACTCCGTTCAACTGAAGCCATACGAAATGATAGCATATGTTTGTCAATGTCATCAAATGTTTCATCTGAAACCTCATCTTTTTCCTCGTCCTCTTCGTCTTTTTAATTCTCCTCCTTCGCCTCTTTTTTTTCTTCTCCATGATTTGGCCTCAAGCTTTGACCAGCTTGACCATTGAATTTATTTTCAAAAGTAGCATAATGTTCCTAAAAACATATTTACAAAGATAAAATTAAATATAATAAAAAGTTTAAGTGGGTACTAAGCTAGATTAAATCTAAATAAAGAATCAATAGTTAAACCTCACATACCTTTTGATTGGATGTTGTTGTATGTTGTCCTTTTGAAGCCTGAGTTGTTTCTTGTTGCTGTAAGGCATCGCTAAATCAAATACTACTACTAGCTGTAAGAAAGAACATTAATAATGCACATTTGGTTTTAATAATATAAAATAATCCAATAAACAAACTAATTATCTACCTTTTTTTTTGTAATTCATGATACATTTTGTTATCAGCACGACCAAATAAATTTTCATAGTTCTCTCTTGATGCACATCACTTCTCAGTCCAATGTGCCATTATTGGAAGACTTTCAGCATTATAATCAAAGTCATTACCAAGAAATCTGAAGTGCTCATAATACCACAGCTAATATAAATGACAAGCATATATAGTTATTATAAGATAAAATAGTAAAAACAAAAAAATTAGCTCACTTAAATTAAAGAATTTACCTGTAACAGAAGCGTACACCCATTTATGTACTTCGTATTTTTTTTCCTCTGACTTGTAATGCTTGAAAATAAAAAGTCAAGAGTGAATCTAGCCCAATTGTATGAAGAGATTTTTTTGACATCAACCAGAATGTTTAGATAATATTGGGGTATATAATCCTTATCATTTATAGGAGTTAGCACAAGTCCCAGTAATAGAAGCACAAAAGATCTCTTAAAATGATCGTCTGCTCCATCAGATGAACCAATACAATTTATAAGGTGTCGGATTGTAATTTTCTTCGTGAATGGTTCAACATAATATTTCAAAATTTCCGGGTCAACACTTTCATTGCAAAGCATAACAATATCACCTTCAGCACGTAATCCCATCAAGTAAACGACATCCTTTTCTGATAGTGACACCTCGTAATCTCTTATTTTAATTATACGTGTTTCTATATTTACCTTAATCATTAACCAATAACAAAGGCAACGACGCATTCTTATATCAGGAATATATAAAATACCTCCCAAACCCATATCCACTATCGCTTGTTTTTGTACATTTGTTAAGCCACTTACGATATTGAACATTTTTGTTGGATTGCAATAAATACCAATAGACTCCTCTCTGACATTTTCTGCATTTCAATTAAATATCAAAAATAAGTACAAGAAAAATAAAATTATAACTCCTAAATAAATCGCTTAAATATATGTGATTGTGACTTTATTTTTTTTTCCTTTCAAAGAAGTCAATAAAAGTTTATAGCTATATCACAGACAATTCCATATGGTAGATCACATCAATTTACTAGTTCAGCATCATATAATTTTTAAGTATTAGATGATGGAATTTATGACTCTTTGGACTATGAACTAAAACTAAAAGTCTTTAATTTTGCACCATGGCCATATGTTCATGTGTGATAGAGAAAGTGCATGCATGCAAGCTGTAAGAACTTCTGTAGTAAAAATTGTAGCTGTCTTTTAATTAGCTTATAAACATGAAGATTATGTTTTTAATTTAGTAACTAAAGCGATTACATCATTCTATATAATTAAAAAAATTTAACCGAAAGTTGCTGTTATGAAAGCTACTACATCTACAACGAAAGCAACGAAAACGACTACATCAAACTAAATAATTAAAAATTTTAAGCATAAGTTGCTGCAACTATAGTCAGGCGCCTAATATTCGTTTGTCCCAACACTAAAGACAATAGATCATATTATATAATTAACATTTTTTAAAAATGAAAAAGACTTACCTTTCATGGCCTTCACGAGATTTTTTGGAGATGGCGATCGAGTGCGGAGCGGCGTGAGCGTCATCTTCTCCAAAATAGTTTTTTTTTCTACAGGAAAGTGCGGAGCGTCACTTGATAAGGCGGTAAAAAATTATAACGTGAATTAGAGAATTCTAACTAATCATAAATTCTGTTTTTCTTCTAAATTGTATTTCCTGAAATAATCTTTTTACTTATAGTTAATTACAATTTTAGGTGTGGAACACCTCCTAACCGCCAAATCTATCCACCTAAAAATGTGAGAGCTATTTTTAAGGAAATTATTTACAGATATGTCACCGATGCTCCAACAAATCTTTATGGAGCACCAAAGCTGTAGGCTTTCTTGGGAGGGACGGGAGAGAGAGAGGGAGAACTAGTTCATGCGACTGCGATAGTTGATCCGAGCCAGGGACAGACTAATGCTGTCATACCATTTAAAAAGGATTTGGGCCGGGCTTTTACACAAATTTGCAGTTGGCTAAAAATTGAACCCGGACCCAGGAAAATGCCCTATACATAATACACACACCAGTCTTTACTCACCGCAATATTTTTAAAATAGAAAGATTTTATAACTTGTACTCATACAGGACTTTAGATGAGAATGACATGGTTAAAAGAGCTCTATTTACAATCACAACAATAGACATGCATCGTCTTTATCACCTTTGAGGATGTACTTTCCTGTATTTCATGATAGACAGAAGATACAGCGTTAATCAAAACTTGCTACTCTTCTCGTTGTTCACTATATACAAACCAATTACAGAACCATGAGACTCTTGGTATCACCAAATCAATGTACAAATAGTGTTGCATCCCAGCTCAGCTCAATTCTACAAACAAATAAACCATCGCAGGTCATGGTAAAATACAATTCGCCTCGGCGTCCATTTTTAAACTCCGGTCAAGACAAAAAAAAATTGTGTGATAAGAACACATTCACTCCCTCTTATCTTCTTCAACCTCACCATCCTCATCACTGAAGACACCACTCTCCGCATTCCTTGCATTTTTCTCCATCTTAACTAAACTAATCCCAGATCACCACCATCTGAAGTTCCTTTTGTTAGGGACTGAGCTTCTTCGTCATCAGTATCTTCTCCAGCTTCGGCCGAGTATGCATATCCGTATTATAATCCATAGCATAGATTTTTGAGGTTTTGACATTAGTTTAACTACATCCAAGAGAGGCAAGACTTTTACCTTTGAGAGCTTTGAGATGGTTGCCAAAGGTAGCACATAACACAGAGCAAAGCACAGGCAATAACATCCCAGAAAGCAGTGATGATCCATGCACTCTGCCATCGTTCGTTGAGTGGATCCATTGCTTTGAAGTAAACCTGTTGTATCGAAGATTTAGGCAATTTTAAAGAACTAAACAGTTTTTAGCATTGAAAAGCTTCAGATCATACATTTTAGGGTTTTTGTCATATTAGACCCCCCCGGACCCCCCCCCCCACCCCCCACCCCCAAAAAAAATTTGTAAAATGACGTAATTCTTTATTAGACCCGCAAATCTTCATATTTCTTAATTAGACACCCAGATCTTAATATTTGTTCAAAGTGGGGGTCTTATTTAAAACAACTTAATAGATTTCCGAGTGCAAATTAAAAATATGGGGTGTTAGTTAAAACGACTTAATGAATTTGGGGCTCTAATTTAGAAGTATGAGGATTTGGGGGAAATTAACAAAGATTTGGGGTCTAATATGACAATAACCCTCCATTTTGTTTCTAGATATATTGTACTCTTTGTTGAGAATCTTCATGTCATCATGATAATTTCACTCAACAAAGTCCTATATTTGAAATATTTACAAATCATAACGTATTAAAGAATCAATCCACAGTACATCAGATACTGCTTCCCCCTAAAAATGTTCACTCACTTGATGAAGTTATTCCACAGAAAAGAAGGGGACATTTGAAATATTTCTTAAAATAAAAAATTGCATTACACACAAAGAATAATTTGTAGGTAGGCATGCATTGTGTCTGGTCCTGAAATCAATGATTAACAGCAAAGGATACTGGTGCAGGATACATGATAGTTTGCTGAGGAATTACATTAACCATGCTGGATATCGAAATCGCCATAGGAGAATATCAAGAATCGGAATTAGGTCCTTTTACCTTGATGCATTAGTTGTGGCCAAGTTTTCTAGGTTGATAATTTCTATTTTAAATGCCATTTTCAAATAGTGCCAGAAATATTTGGTCACATCTACAGTGGGGACGGTCCATGGCATTTAACATGCACCAAATGGATATCAACCATTGGGATCGTGCACGAATCCCGATGTCCAATAATCTAACGGTTAACCATTTGGTGCACATTTAATGTCATGCACCCGGGACCACTTGATACTTTCTCCGTATTGGAAGGAGACCAATAATGCAAGCTATTACTTTACCCAAATAACTGATAGAAGATTTAGGAAGAATAAAACAGATGCATATCGACTCTTACCATCTATAAACAGTCAGATTGAAATATAAATAGATGACGTAATGGGTTTTTCAAAAGAAAGAAAAATGTATTACTTAGTATGCCACAAAGTATATATATGTATACGGTAAAGCATGAGAAAAATCAACTGGGCGTTAAACAAAGCCACCCCATCACCAGCAGCCTACACTAAGGTCCAGGATTAGGTCCTTGTCTCTGGTCTTTAGTTATGAACTTATGAGTGAACTTAGCAGGTACTGGAATAAAGGTCTCATGGGATATACTATTTGCAGAAAGCCAGCATCAGACTTGATAGGTTCAGGATCCCACATATCGATAGCAGCATTACAATTTTACTAACTTATTTACAGCAGAACAAGAGAGGTATCCCATGTCATTTCTCGCTTTTGTCTTCTGATGGAGGTAAAAAATTTAGGGGTTTATGCATATATACCCTGCAAATCTTCCATATTAAGAAATTTGCCCCCTAAATCTTGGTATTTACAAATTTACCCTCCAAATCTAATACACTGGATAAAACTGCCCCTTTGATCTAACATTCTCACTTATTAAACGGTGGATGGTTTTTTATTACGATTATACCCTTCATCTCAACTCACCCATTTCCTTTCCCTCTCTGTACCCTAATCAAGACAATAACTGAGATTTCTTGAAGAAATCTGCAATCTTATTTTCCCCAAATCAACAAAGTACTAGAGTCTGGCCTATCTTACTCGCAGACATAGTTGGGAGACGGATCTGGCAGGGGTCATGAGGGAAGGAGGCAGCAGTGGTTGCCAAGTGATCAATGACGAGCTGTGGGGTGACTTCATGGGCGGTGGAGATGTGCAGTTTGTTGAGGTCCTGGAAATAAATTTCATGGCTGGAAATGTATTTTTCACTTCGATTTTTTAGTAGCAAGAGATTTCCATGTTTTGTTTACTTGTTCTACCTTCTACATCGATAATCAAACTAATGAAGAATTTGTGATTTTTGATGTGTTAAACAATAAAATATCATAGATTTTCATTCATATCTCAAAAGCTACAATTACACCCCTTTATATAGGGATACAATAACAAGAAGTTTATTGTGTAATCAATATGAGACTAAACACAATTACCTAATCACAATTTTTTTAAGTTACATACCTAATCTCTCTAAATCACTAAATCTCTAATTTATACTCCTAATATATCTTGCCTAAAATTACTTATTTCATTTATTACCTCTAACACTCCTCAAGGTGCATGCATAATATACATGTCCAGCTCATTACAAATAAGATGCATTCACTCCAACTTGTGACATAACATAAAAGATTGAAATCTTCAGTGTGACCTTTCTCATTGTATTGTCTCCATCTTCTAGTCTTCTACTCGAATGTCTTCCACCATAATCTCGACCAAAATCACTAAATATGATACCTCGATCTTCTTCATACATCGACCAAAAAAAAAAAATTAAACGACCCCGTCTGGGACGCTACCAAACAATCTTCTCCAGGGACCCACCAAGCAAATGGTTCTCTCTAGAGATCCGCTAAATAAATAATTCTCTCCACGGATCAACAAAACAAACAATGCTCTCCACGGATCAACCAAACAAACTCTTTACGGTGGCCATAATAGCAAACATATCACCATCCTCCAACCGAAAAACAATACAGAGCACCTACCTTCCTTAAACACCAAACTGAATTACACCAACCTACCACCCTCAAACAACTCTAAACTCCTCGCACTAGCCTAGCACCCTCAAACAACTAAAAAAACTACTATTAAACAATTTCAAACTTCAACACCATCACCTTAAACTTCAACATCATCACCAAACTTCAACAACGCCAACCAAAATCAACTAACTCGGAAAATAACTCTTCAATAATAGAAAAGACGATCAAATAAATTATACCAAATTTGTCTCCATAGCAAGAGAGACGAGATGGCAACGATAGCGTCAACTTGACAACAATGTGGTCGCTATCTACCGGCTCGTTGGAGGCTACTGGTGGCAGGTACGGAATGTCATCATCTTCAACAACCACGTGATGACAAATGACCTAATGCAGTCAGTGGTGGCGGCAACCCAAAGAGCAGCAACGTAATAGCCTGTGAGGCGTGCCTTAAGAGGCGGCGACCTAAGGGGAGCGCTGAGCCGTGGGGGCGACAATGGCCCAATGAGGCAGTGATGCACCAAAAGGAGGAAGAAAGGGTTTGGGTTTGAGAAGTGAAGGGGCTAAGATTAGAGGAATATATATTAATATTTTATTTTGAGAACCATGGCTTTGATGCAATGTTAAACAATAAAATATCGTAGATTCTTATTCATATCTCAAAAGCATAACTACTCCCCTTCGCATATGGATACAATAACAAGAAATTTATTGTATAGTCAATGTGGGTCTAAAGTCTAAACACATTACCTAATCACAATTATTCTCTTAGTAACATACTAACATTCCAAACATCTCTCAATCATTAAATCTCTAATTTATACTCCTAATATATCTTGCCTATATTATTTATGTCCTTCATTGCCTCTAAGATGATGAAACTCTAGCTTCGTTTTCCTTTGACTTTACCTGTTACTCTCTTTTCTTCACTAGAGCACCAAAATCGTTAAAGAAAAAAAAAACAAATTGCGGTAGACTTGTGGGTGAGCAGTAGTTGGTTTCTTTAAATGGAGGGTTGAGGTTCTGGAGAGACTGGGGGTTCTAGATGAACATATTAAGGAGGTTGGGCATAGAATATTGACCATAATTATATTTTGGAGGGTATTTTAGTCATTATATAATTGTATACATTAACTTAATAGGGAAGAGGGAATATGCTGAGTATACTCCCTAACAGTGTCTGTGAGGAGTAGAAAAACCACTGTGATAGACTTGGAGGGTATATTTGCAAATACCAAGATTTGGGGGTAATTCACAAATATGAAAGATTTGAGGGGTATATGATGCGAAACAATGTGATGCAGGTATGAAGATTAACAACAGCAATGCTTCGCCAAATCAGCGATCGATCTAGGCAGGAAGCTCATGAATAAAGTGTAGCTTTTGATGGGTTTTAAGCAAAAGTTGCAATGTACTAAGTTCAAATCTTTGTAAATGATCCAGAAAATAAATGTAATGATTCGTTCTCTCAATACAGTTCAAAGTGTAATATTTGGATAAGTAAAAATACTTAGCAACAGATTCGCTCGCTCACTTAGTCAAACTGATTACAGCACAAATACGATCGATAGTAATATTGATAACAACATGCAAGCAATAGCAGTTCCGAAAATAATTGGGCGAAAGAAAGTTGAACCTTCGTCGGGTTGAACTGGTTCGACGGGAGGATCCTCTGGAGGTGGTTCAACGACGCCAAATATGAGGGGTGGAAGCTCTCCACCGAGGGCGGCGTAATTCGGATGGAGTGGTGTATCTGGATGGAAACGCCGATGCCACGAACTGATTCCCAAACTACTCTCTACGCTGTCAACGATCTGATGAGTCACACGCTCAACGTACTCGGGCACGCTCTCGAATGACTGATAATCAAACCACGGGGAAAGCTGTAAATCTGCGATGCCGGTCTCTGGATCTAGCACGATTCCGTCATCTGCATCAGGATCTGCCATACACCATCAATTGTAAAATCAGGGATCAAATGGTTGAATCTGACTCAACTAGCTTCAACAACTCCGGATTGGGTCAAGTGGGTCTGGTCCACACTTGACTCAAATCAAATGGGTTGGTTGAGTGAATAGGGACTCTGCTTTAAATCACTCAAGCCAAATAGTCTTCAATAGGATCTGGATCTGAGGACAAGCGGAAAAGGGGGAGCAGGAACGAATCGACGCTCGACGAATGAGGACGGCGCTTGAGTCGGGATGGACGGCGTTCGG